CAGTCAACATCAAAGAACCAATAACAACAATTTGAACCTCATTAAGGGAGCTTAATTGATATCTTAGGGTAGATGTAACTAGTATTACAGATTTAAATGTATATATTTCTGAACTCCATTTCCAATTACTTGTATATAGGGTGAGAATTCTGCAATATTTTCTATTTCATGTTGTCAATTGTAGCTTGTAAATGAAAGAATGGGGTTTTAAGCCCGATTCTTCTGCACCTAATGGGGCTGATAAAGACGGGCGCCGCAATGCAATCGGTGACATTTAACCTACTCATTTTCGATTTTCAACAGTTGATGGATCTTTAAATTGCACAGACTGAAACAGTCTTCAGCTTTTTGTTCGATCTGGACCGTAAATGACTGCAAGAGGTGGCTTAAACCGAATAACTCTTCTTAACAGGAAACAGGTGAAGGTCCGACTTTTTTTTATTTTTTGACCCCATATATCCAACGAGTATTTTCAGCACCTAAAAAACTTTTAATCTTTATAAAAAAAAATCGTACGATTATGTTCACAAACACGTGAGCTGCCAAGTATTTTATTGATTTATCCAACAAATTTATGTGTTTCATAACTTATTCCCAACAGACGAGTCTTCAGCTTTTTGTTTCATCCCATCAACACGACTGAACGTTACTATGTCAGACTGCAAAAAAAGAGGGAAACTGGTCCGAATGTATCATCTAGACATATGACGAAATTGAATCAAAGGTCTATCTGACAAAGCTATCACTCTCCAATTTTTGCTGGTAGGCACTCAGTATAAATCAAATTCACAGTCTGCTCACAGTATAGCATCCATGTAAACGTACCATCTAAATGGTATTTATTGATGTACGAGTAGGGAAATTGTTTTTCTCTTTCCTTCAAAGAGATTAATTAATAACAGAGAATGGTTTGGTTTGTACTTAATTCTTAGGAGGAAAGAAAAGTGTTCTTAGATTATTTCTTATTCCGAAGAGAATTGACCGAGTAAAGCCAGATAAGGCTGATCGACATGATTCATCCATTTAGGATTCGACGAATTTACTTCCTATTGTGCTGCAATTGAAAATGTATATCATAAAATCAGAGGTTTTCTATTATAAAGTTATATGGTAAAGCAAGACAACTCCCTCGCGCAATGAGTGAACTTTCAACCCGAGCTGACAAAAACATTCAGTAATCTGGAAAGTTTAACCTTGGCAGATTGTATAGAGGTCCCCAATAGTTCTGTTACTTTAATCTATGTAGTTTGCTATGCTCTCTCAATTATTTAACAATTATCTGATCATTGGCATCCGCTAAATAATTTTCAAAAGAATCGACGATAATATTGTCTTTCAATGCTAGCTTAATTATTTCTTCGGTGTGTTTCCGTATTTATAAATCCATATTATCCCCAAAAGTGTTAAGTTTCATGGAATATAGAATGTCTTCTGGTCGAGGTTTATAATCTATATACATGTTAATGGGGATGATTGCTGATTATATTATAATTTTCTTGGAGACATTGCTAGTAATGTTAGGATAAGAATGGATTTCGATATTTGAAGCAATGAATCACTTTCGAGAGCATAGGCCATTTTTATTCATTCTGACAATGAATAGGAGGCATTTCATGTAAATCCATAACGTAGTTGACAGATACATTGTTGTCCGATGTCATATTATTAACACCAATTCATGAAAATTTCAAAATGGTTTCGATATGAGGATAAAAGATAATAGAGGTCTATATTTTCCTTGGATTTCAATTTAACGCGAATATGTTAATACACACATTAGATTCCATGACAGATGGAAAGCGAATGAAAAGGCTACTTATTTACAACAGCCCTATAAAATTCTTATTGAAGCCTAAGTAGAATGCCACATTCATTTGACAAGCAGAACAGAAGCTAGATAGATCTTGTTACTATTCATTTATATTGCTAAATAGTTTTGGTTACCTTAAGCGAGACGTTACCACTTCAGAAATGTGAATTGTGGCTAATTGAAAACACTTATACGGAGCCAAAATAAAGAAAACACGGTCAAGATCTTTCAAGAATAGTTTTACATAAGTAGAAATAAAAGAACAGATATGACTTTGCAAATACGTCACTGCCTTGGCGATCTGCAAAGCCGAGATATTCATAGTGTGAAACAACGTACCTGGCCTATTTGCCAGATCTGGAGCGTAAATGACTGCAAGAGGTGGCTTAAACCGAATAACCGTTCTAAACAGGAAACTCGTAACGGTCCAAGGTATACATTGTAAAACGAAAGTAATAACCCATATATTTTCAGCACCTAAAACATGTCTTTACAAAAAAATCGTCCGATTATGTTCTGAGTATGTTAACTATTTCGTTAAATGTAAGGAGACATAGTTTTATCTTGCCAAGACTGAAGCTCGAAACTTACACATTATCTCTTTATTTACGATCTTTTTCTTGATTGAAATACTTAAGATTTATTGTAATTAATAGTAACTATTCTACATCATTATACCTGGTGCTCCCGTGTATTCTGTAAACAAGATGAGAATTTTATCATTCTGCCCTTGAGCTGTTTAGTTTATCTCATTAATGTTCCAAGTCTTATAAATGTTTCCTATCAAAATAATACCTCATTCAATCCCTTAATCACGAGTGGTCAATCCTTAAATCACGAATACTTCTAACCATGTTGATTAGAGAAAGTTAACTTCCTCTTTTGGTCGAGGTCAGTTAACATTTCCGTTTTATATTTTAAATTGGTCAATATTGACTATCTTTTGGGTTCGCTTGGACTTGTTGAAGGTCTGTTACTGGCTAAATTTGCAGATTGAATTGTTTTGTATATAAATGAAATTAAATTTTTAAATGTTTCGGATACATACCTATTTACATCGAAAATATTGGTTTGTTATTTCAGCAATTGAGGTGTTGAAAATAGTGTTGATGTAAACGACAGATTCCAAATAAATACGAGTATTATAGTATGAGGAAATGGACTGGACGACAAAGGCACGAACAGTAATTGAAAGTGAACGTCGTAAGCTACATTCATTCAGTTCTGTATTTAATTGTAAAACCAGAAGGATGTCTATCGCCAAGAGACAAGAAATATAATATCCCAAGTCATTGTTTCCCTTAATCAAGCCACCAAAAACCAAGAGCAGATCACGTATACATTAAATTACCTTGCCAATACGTCCTCCTTTCCATACTTGAAATTCATTTAAGATGATCACCTTGTTAACTGTTTGGCGACGACGATAAAGCATTTAAAACCTAGAAATATTCGATGATTCCATTACAATGTATCGCGGTGAAATATATTCTGGTTGCTCACAAAACCAATAATCGTAAGATTTTGTACTAGTTTCGAATGTCCACGACCACAGAATGATTAAAAGAGGATGATAACGTAGGAACTTAACATAAGAAAATCTGAACACAAACGTTTCCTAAATTCATGAGATAACCCTTTATTCTTTTAATTTATTTTAATAATATAAAAATATTTATGACATCAAAAGACAAAAATTCAACCGTCCAAATTATCCATCAATATGTTAAACGATTAAATTAATCAACATACATAGAATTATCACAGAATGTTGAATCAACATTTTGTCTTTCCTGCATTGTCCCATCATATTAAGTGGTTGCGAAATGCTACTTAATGGCAATAGGGTGGTCAGTCATTTGAAATTGTTCACTGTACCGCCAATATATTAAGAAATATACCGATGTCATTGGTCTTCCAGTAGTAACATATTGTAGATCTTTGCGCTATCTCGGTTGTCAACCAACTTTTACGGTTGAAGGTTAGCCTTTTACCTTAGCCTTCGTTTGTGAAAAACCAACTTCTTTTTCATACCTACAAAGTTATTTTCCTGGGCTAATTTCCTATCCTAATCTTGAAACGTCAGACGAATTTGATAACAAACTTAAAAGAATCATTTTATAAATCATTACGACGAGTTTCAAATTTTTTTTACAAAAGAATGATCGGATAAATGCTATTTAGATAAGCAAATTCCTCTTTCAAATAGAGTTAACAGTGTCTACGGAATGACAACGAAACACGGTAAGTTCAGGGAAATCAAATTTACACCAAGTTACCTCAGCACACATTAGTGTAAATGCCCTTTTCTATTTAGGCTTATTTAAATTTCACAGGCGTTTAATACAACCGAATTGTGCTTAAAATAGTCTTGTTGCTGATGTCACAGGCGCTAGCATGACAGGAACAATGCACTAGTGTGGAGTGCGTTGATGATTTTGTTCTTTCTTTAATTTTTGCTCTAAAGAAACTTTAATTTGTCAACATTTCGTATTTATTCATTTGTACATTTGTCATAGTTGGAGTTGTATGAGGTTTTACTTTTACTCAAACCTTTTTACGTTGTCAATAAACTAAGCTATAACGAATGTATTAGTAAGTAACCAAACACTGACTTTGCAATCATTGCCTTTGTGAATGATCAAACATGGCCTCTGGACTCAGTTCATCTCTACTTCATAGATTTTATGATGGCAGTAGTCACGGATCTTCATTAGAGACTTCAAAGCATAACAGCGCCGTATGAAATGAAATTTAATTATTAGCTTTCAGGTTTACTTAAATGTAAAGATAATGATTTGATATATGCTTTAAGATACAAAAGGTTATCCTTGAGATATTTAAGATGTGTTCTTTTGAACAGAATTACTACCAGTGTGTGTTAAGGCCATTTTGTGACAAATCAACAATCAACACTGCATGATAATGCAATTTCCAATCTTATACACTACATGATACAAAATAGGGTGTTAAACACGGCTCGAAAACTGGCAGATCTTTTTCCCTGGGTTTTACAGATGATCATGTCCATATTCCTGTAGGCAGTAGCGAAAAAGCACAGGATACTTTATCAAATGGACATTATGACAACATAGGATTTGATTACGACGAGCAGGATGAGGTGGATAGTCAGTACAGGAAGGAAGTATTCGCTAAAAGATTCCGAAAGCCAAGTTTGAAAGAAGAACCACAGAAGGAGATCGGTATTTTGTACGGAGCAGCGCTTATTATGAACACAATCATAGGTAATGTTTTTTAGAATGCTTTTAGTTTTACAGAGTTAATTATGATTTGTAATATTCAGAGAGATATTTATCTCCAATCTAAATATGATCTTTGTCTGAACTGTAACCACCTCGCACTATTGTAACTTCCGGTTAGTATAAGTGTTTATACATGCTTATTATTTGTAAAATCAATCGTACTTCTGATTCGGAATGAAAATTGTAGTATAAGGCTACTCTTTTCAGAAAAGTGTTAATGACCTTGACATGCATATACGTATTTGAAATTAAAAGTCTGGTCGTTACGGCCCGTGTGATCAACCACTGTAACTAAGCGATTTGTAAATTTATTCTCATTTCAGGGCCGGGAATTTTTACATCACCAAAAGGTGTTGTGAAAGGAGCAGGTTCAGTTGGACTTACTCTTCTTATCTGGGGAGGGTTTGGTTTTTTTAGTGCAATAGGTAAACAATTTACTTGTCAATCAAGGTATTTACAGATATCATGCCGAAATATATTTTCTAATATCTCAGTGGTCTTTCGTAGCCTCGTGTACTAGAGGCAATATTTCTAGACCTAATTTAAAATGAGAATTGCTGACGCTCAATAAATTGCTCATCAATCGAACAGCTCGATAACCCTTACAGCATTCACCCCTAGAACCCACTCTAGTACAATTACTAACACATATATGTATATTATAAAAAAATACAACTGTATTTCTGCAAGATATGCACCTCTGTGTTCGCTGTCTTCCAGCTGGGCTGTGTTTTGCTGAATTAAGAGAATCGGTGACCAGGGATGGAGTGGAGTATGCATATATTGCAGAAGCATTCGGACCTCATGCTTCATTTGTCTACTGTTGGATGAGAATAGCAGCAGCCGAACCTGTGGCTACAGCTATATTCTGCATGGCTTTTTCTGATTATACCATGGATTATGCTTACGATAATTGTGGACCTACTCAACTCCACAGAAAGATTTTAGGAATTTTTGCTGTAGGTATGTCATTCTATAGCAGCCTTATCTGTATATTTAAGGATACGAATTGTTTTGCTGTCTATCATTGGCATGGCTATTTGAAATTTATTATTTTCCAAAAGAAATTTGAGATGCTAAGTTGAAGAAATTAATATGAAGTTACTCAAAATTGAAATTTTATAGAAGCTGAGGTGAAAGATATAGATTTGTAAATTGAGAGAGCCGTACAGAATTAAAAGACAGTTCGTGCTCGTTTTGAAAACGACGATTCCCATCCTCGACCAAATAAAAAGGCCAGAAAAAAACACAGCAAGATTTAAAAAAATATTTCAAATGTTTGATTGAATAATATTAAAAACATAGCTAATATAATCAGTATACGAACGAGTTAGTGTTGAAACTCACATGCAAATTATAGCACAGCATGTACCTATGTTAAAATATTTGATTTACATTAGCAACGATGTTATTTGTCACATTTGATGTTTGAATTACAAAGACACCTTAGGTTAATGTTAGTTATGAATAATCTTAGAGTAAATTGTACGTGTAAATATCTCCACTTATGTTATATCGATATGGAAAAGATAAAATTATTCGATCTGTTTTGACTGTTAGGCTTAATACTTATTGAATAACGCGAAGAAAATTCCAACGATTTATGCCGGGTAATAAAAATAAATAAATTAGATACTGAAAGTATTTTTTTAACTATGGAACTGATTGTAATTTTAGGACTTAATTTTTTTTCGTCCTTGGCGTAAAGATCTTGACAAATAACTCCAGGGTATCAATAACATCAAGTTACCACCATAATTGTATGAAATATGATCAAGAATAGTTACGTCTTAGGGCGAATAAAGTCTTCAAGTTTAGTCATAATCACGAAGCTTTAATTGAAGAAATTTTGCATCTGTTTAGTTGAGTATTCGGAAATTTTGTGAGATGTCGGAAAAATCAAAGTGTCACCCAATTTGTGCCTATGAATTTTGTTATCTGAATTACATTTATGGGCTAAAGTACTGTCTCTTGAAAGATTTTCGCATTGCACATGGCATGAAATCTTACAAATATTTCTACATCTGTTATTGAAATATTCCATTGTACAAATACATTCAATTCATTCTTTAACAGAATTGTCTAGTAGTAATGGTGCAAATAAAAGTACAAGAACAAGTAATCAATAGTTTTGTATTGAACCGTGAATAATGTTATTTCTGTCTTTAGGATAGACTTATTAAACTTGGTTACCTTTTAGAAGATATAAACTGCTGTATATAACAACTTTACCATTCATCCCTGAAATTATCGAAAACGTTGATTTGTTTTCAGTTACTCTGGCATATTTAAATGTATTTAGTTCTAAATTGTCTGAAAAGGTACAAATATTGGGGACCCTCGGGAAGACGATTGCCTTGGCTATAATTATTACTTGTGGAATCATTAATTTATCCAAAGGTAATAATGTTTATTTTGGACGCATATTTTACTAATTTTTATCTATAATCATGTGACTTCAGCGTTCTTTCGTTACAATTTACGATAACTTGTCTTGCAGACGACTATGCCTCAAACACACGCAATGATTTCGTTTTAAGTGCAATTTGATATGACAAAATGTGTTGGAGCACGACAGTCGATACGTACTTCTTACAGTCTCTGTAACAGCATTTTGCTTAATGCATATATTTTATGCACGATTGTTTTGCATGCCGGCGAGAAAACATGAGACATTTAACACACAACCAATGTTACAAAAGTTCCGTATTGAAATTTAATATATCCATTTTAATTTATTTGGAAATTGTTTATTACACGAACAAAACTATTTTATTTAGGTGAGCTGACAGAATTGAAGACTGGATTTGCTGACACTGAAACCAATCCTACATCAATAACCTTGGCTATTTATAACTGTTTATGGGCTTACGGTGGATGGTAAGTGTGATCACGGAAAAAACCGCATCGATATGAATAATATGCATAATAATTTGTTTGTATCAAACCAAGTCATTCCTTGTATTTCATATTAGAAAAATCACACTACATTTTCAGTGTAAAACAACATAACGCTTTGCCACGTTCGAACCTAGGTTTGATGTATTCTTTGACATAGTTGCATGTGTGATAAATTCAATATATAATTAAATTAATCTATGAATAACACTGGAGCTTTATTGTACGACGGGAATAACGTTGCATTAGTGTAATTGTATTTAGTACATTCGGCCCATTATCTGTTCGAAATATCATTTTTATTTCATAAATAAATTGTGTTTTGCCTGTAATTTAAGGGCGAGTGTCAACAACGTTACGAAGGGGGTCAAAAAACCACCAAGGTTAGTCGATACTTCTATAATGTATCTGTATTTTATGTTTCTTTGACGCTCCCCAACGTATCAAACTAATTTGAAATAAATAACAAGGGAGCCGTAAGAAACCATGTGTGCTTGCTATGCAGTAAAATTTTAGAATTTTACATACCAAAATTACCAGGAATACAAGGAAGTTAAAAGGAATACCAGAAATGTCTTCCACCATCGTGTTTTTGTATAGTTTTACCGCTTTAGCTGTATGATGTTTCAATCAATTTTTAAAACTTTCCAGAAATTTACCGCGGTTGATTAAAGTAACCATACCGACTGTTGGAGTAATATTTATGCTGGTTGTAACTGCATATTTTACTGTCATGACAAGAGAAGAATTAGTCAATTCTGAGGCAATTGGAGTGGTGGGTATTCACAGTTTGTGGTGGTATTTTATTCCAAATCAACTCACTGTTAAGGGAGACTCAGGGCAACCTTGCGTCTAAGAGAATCTGTGAGCAACCATTTCGAGCTATTGGTGGCACGAGAGAATATGAGTATGGTGACTAAAGTTTGTTCTCGTTCTTCTTTCTATAAGATACTGCTAGTTGTTGTAATTGTGTTATCGATGTAAGCTTTGCTTTGAAATACCAGAAGACATACTCCAGAGTTATTGGTTTCATTTAGACAAAGTGGAATGCAAAGGCACCTGGACATCTTTGGCGGTTATTCACCTAGCTTGTATTCATAAGACCACCACTTGTCTATTACGAGCAGAACATTTAATTACGCTCCATCTTACATCAAGCTACTTTGTTATATCTTACATAAGCCATATGATGGACTTCTGTATTCATTAATGACATTGTAAAATGTTTGAATGAATGTTCATAACCTTCAAAGAGTACAGACAAATTTCTCAAATCTAATTGTTACACATGCGTTGTAAAAATTGCCAGTTATAAGAATTGATATTATTTGCTGAATGGTTTCATTCCAGACGTTTGGTGAAAGAGCATTAGGAAAATGTGGCGCTATTATACCGATCTGTGTAGGATTCTTGGCCTTAAGAAGCGCAAATTCTACTTTTCTTGATGCTGGCAAGTAAGTGAATGATGTCTGGTATTTTTATATTTGTGAAGAGAAGAAAAACACAATTTCGTAATATTAGGCTATTCACAAATGGAAAAAAAGTTCTCAATTTTTAATTTTTCTACAAAGTAATTGAACAGAGCTTATCTATGTATGTAAAATGATAACAGACAAGACTGAACAATAGGTGGCTTTGCGCTGCAGATTATGTTTCTTACAATCACTGTACAGAATGGCACATCGTATAGAACCATCTCCAGTAATCGGCTATGTTCCTAGCCCACGTTCGAAAGTTCCAAGAAGTTAAGGCTCCACTAACTAATTATTTTTTGCTCGTTATGATTTTAAATAGGGTTTATCCTTAGGTGATAAAAACACTCACACCAAGTTTCATCAAAATCCGCCAAGAATTGCGCCTTCTTTCTAGAATGTTTACGAGCGTTTCAAGAACAGAGGCTAAACTCATACTAAATATTTTTCGATTTTTCTGTTTTTCAATTGGTTTCATCCTTGGGTCATCACAACCACTCACACCAAGTTTCGTCGAAATCAGTCAAGAATTGTGCCTTGCAGAGTGTTTACGATCAATTTCGGACGGACAAGGGTGACGGCAATATACACTCCACATTTCATGTTTCAAAAAGAAACAATTTTATGGGATGGGACTGTTTGGTATCAACGTTGTCAGTTTCTGGGATTATATATTTTATGTTCTACTTATCAGATTGTCTGGAGTTGCTGTCAAAGATCACTCGATGCCAGAAGTTACATCATTTGTGCATGTTAGGAGTAAAACGCCTTTAGTCACCGTTATTACCAGGGTATGTTGGGACTACATGTCGGCAGTTGACGCTTCTTGATGGTTGTCATTTTCCTTTTTACCGTTTCAAATGGATAATGAATAGAACAATTGAAATTCACGTCATTACAGCTAATGGTATTTTCTAATAATGTGCATGTGGGAATATGTAGCAGTCTTTAGACGACTAGCAACCGAATTGGCAATTGTTACAAGTGATGCCAGAAATCCTGTTGAAACGTAATGTTTCGGGAATCCGAGCGACAATTCGCAATTTTTAACGCCACTTTAATTTCAAAGTGCTCATGTTTAATTTTTAGTTTTTTCGGTTGCCGTTCGACATTCTATAGTTAGAGTCTCAATAATAATTTACTATTTCAGGCAATGATAGCTATTGTGATGATTATGCTTGGAACATTGTCATCTCTCCTGAACTTTTTTATTTTCATTGTATGGGCCTTCCATGGTTTCTCCATCTTGGCTTTAATTGTTCTACGCTTTAAAAATAAAGAAAAGGTTCGACCATATAAGGTAAATGTTCCAACCATCAATAATTTTCAGTCCTCAATCATTTACAGAACAAGTTTTTTTCTGTAACCAAATTAAAACAAAATTTTCTGTAACCAAATTAAAACAGAATTTTCCGTTACAATGTAAAACAAGTGGGATCACAATTAAAGGTCTTTGGCAACTGCAGACATCATCTCAACCACCAGCTTTTGTACAGCTTTGTAAAAACTACAGGCAAAACTTATCAATCATTGATACTGTTTATGAAATATTGTTGAAGATATCATGGCTTACGTACGTTTTCAACTATCAACATGCTGCTAAAATCTATGTTCATTTAACTCTTTATCTCCAAATGAGAAGGCGGAAACATGAATAGAACTAAAGCTAAAATTCCGACCAGCGCGTGATAAAGAACTTGTTAAATAAAAGGACAATGTAATAAACCATTTCCAAATTAAATTGATTATATAACCACTAATCTAGACATCCCAGTGGTAAAATCAAAACGAAACATGAAGAAGAATATTCAAATCCTCAAAGGATTTAGTTGTCAAAATATTTGCTTAATCAGTTGATAAAACTCATGCAGTAAAGCATATCACTTTTGAGAAATAAAATTCCGGTTGTCCCATAATTCATCAAATATTTTATCGAGAAAATTCTCTCAGTATCTCTCACGTAGAATTGCGATCAAGTCGGACTAAAATGAAAGATTTTTGGCACCCGTCCGGATTTGAACCAATATACTACGTACAGTTGTGCAAGCACCTTGTCGAAGTAAGACACTTTCGTTAATCAAAATTTCGTCCAAAGCATTGCAAAAATGGGGTGTAATAATTGAATAGTAGTGGACTCCACAAAAGTACCACCAGGCGGTTTAGAAAGAGTCCGAAAAAACTCAAAAAAATCTAGGGTTATCAACCGCATTACTTTAAATTAGATAATAACTTATGTAAAATGAAGATATAAGAGAATATGTGACGAACATAAATTCACACTCGTGGGATATCCATTAGGTTCTGATAGTATTAATAGAAACTCATTATAATTTTTAGGATCATATTAACTAATTCATTTTCTTTAATGTTCATTGATTAGGTTAATAGTGTAATGCCCCATTAATCCACTTTAACAGTATTTACACAGAGTCTGAAAACCTTTAAGGTAAAATAGTAAAATATGACCTGAATTCGTGTAACAAATAATCATGATGAATTGAATTATTGTAAAAAAAAAATCGATCCAATTACAAGTAAGAAATAGTGTTAGTTTTAATCGAACAAATTTATGTCTAGTCTTCCGGGTCTGATTCAAAACATGAACATGATCGTCCATTTTATGGTAAGGTAGTGTAAGTGGTGATGGATAGAAGTCAGGCTTGTTTAGATATCCTTCATACAACCCAAAAATATATTGGACTGTTCATGCTGCTGTTTTGAATCGGACCCGGACGTGCACTCCCGACTTGTATTTGACTCCCTACCGATTTCGCAATGACATGACCTTATTTTGACACTTTACAATCTTGACTTTTCAGGTTTATCTCTTTCTACCAGTAATAGTCGTGGTTGGTATAACAGCGATACTAATAACACCATTTTTGGAAAAGCCCAAGCTTGAATTTATTTTAGCTGTATCCTTCTTCATGTTGTCCATTATTTGCTACTATCCTGTTAAATATTTAAGGAGCAGTGAACTGTACCAGCATACTAATATGGGTAAGGAATTGAATAACGCGTTGAATTTGGGCTTTACTCTGTCGGTAATAATGCAGGTCAAGCTATCCTTCCTGTACAACTCTGTATCTGAATCAGTCTACTCAACACCCCATTCGGAGAGACCACATAACCAGTTATGTCTATTTTCAAATTCATGCAGGCCACCAATATGGTTCTTTGTGTGTTTCCCTCACTTCATATAAATGATAAAGGTAACGCACCATTGTACTATCCTCTACTTTAAGGTTCTGAGGAATACGAAACATTTTTATCATTTGTTTTACCATCTTGTCTCTAATCTCAATATATAATTGAGAAAAGTATGGAAGTTCTCTCAGATCTATCAATAATTTATTTGGCGTGTTAGAACCTAATTTATAAACAGGTGTCTAGATGAATTATAGGTTAATCAATGTAAGTTCGTACCAAACCATGAAATCATATTTCGGCGCTTATAATCGCAGTTGCAAGCAATCTTCACTCTTTAATGCGTCTCAAAAAGGTGGGCTCTGATCGACAAGGTTTCGAGGCATTTTATCGATCAGTGGCTATCAACATATATCAAGAGTCCATTGACTGCGGTTAACTGAAAGGAGCAGATTTCAAACAAACATGAATGGCTGCGGATGGCAACTTCGACAGTGGTAGGGGCTTCAGGTCGACCAAATCCAGAGATTGATCAGATTCTCCCAGGGGCCACCACTTCTTAGCAGTCATTGAAACTTCAGTTGTCTGAGATTCTGCTCGTTGCATAGTCAGCCTAAGTTTTAGTTAGTATTACCTTAATTAAGAACTGCAAATACATTTCATAACAGTGTCTTCTAAAAGCCAAATTTCAAGTGTCCATCAGAAGTAGAAATTTAGTCCAAAGACTTGATGCGTTATTGATATGGTACAAAAATACTGTATAAAATAAAACATGTTTGGGCATTTACTTTATGAAGCTAACAGAATATGAGAAGCTGAGAAAATCGTACACTAACCTATACATTGCGCTTGTAATAAGTATGATGTAAACCGAATATTATGTACCTTTGTGGGCTCTTTAAAGAACTGAGAATAAACTTCTGATAGCAAATGGCAGAATCTAGGAGAATCTTTTAACTTGTTGAATTTAGCCGACTTAAGCCGAAAATATCTGAAAATTTCCAGAAGCCGACAGTTGGAATAAAAGAGGTTATCAGTAATAATACGTAAAATATATCATTTCAGATAAGATAACAATATACTTACAGCTGTTTCTGAGAATTGTTCCACGAAAGTAAGTATTGAAGATTGATAGAAACTGTAGTTTTTTTTCTTATCTTTATAGCGGAATACATTAATCAAAAATCTGGGTTACTATCCTTCTGCGTGGAACCCGTGTCAACATTTTGACTTTTATATGTAATTCAGAGCGATCGTTAGAAAGAGCATCAGTTCAACACAAAATATCATGTATTATACATGTACATAAATACCACTAAATGGCCATCAAAGACTGGGTTATTTGAAATATATATACAAACCGCCAAAGTCATTTATCAGTAAACGATTTCCATAACACAACTTTTAAATTTTACCCGAATCGTTACAGCAAGGATTCTCTGGGGTCATATCTCAATATGGTTATTATGTTTTCATTTTAGTTATTTAAACAAGTAACTATTTACGCAATCATATAAAAGGGTATAGTTCAATTCAAGTTGCGTAACACATTACAGAATCAAAATCCGACATCCCTTCTTGCAGGTTGTTGGAAACTGTAATTAAAGGCTTATGTTACCACCAAGTCGTTATAGTCGAAGCATCGTGATAGTTCCATTTGAGAACGGTGTGTTTGAGTCACCTAATATAATCTGATGTAGTCTTTATTTTGCTTAAGATGTCCATAATATATTTCAGTGCCCTCAAAGGAAAAAAGAAAATATTAGAAGAAAAGTTATATAGCCGACGAATGTCGACACCAGAAACTCGGGGCTACATACGATATCACAGTCAGGACGACAGTGACCAGACCCCCAATAACAGCCTTCATTCCCCTGTCATCAACAACAACATCAAACCCATATCAATATTGAAGACACGACGCCCCAAACCCGTACAAGCTCCAACATTTGACTGTATTGACGAATCTTCAGATTCAGACGAGTCTTCAACTAATGACAAAACGTTATCTGACGACAAACGATCCACAGGACCAGTGATTTCAACACCTGAGCACTCACCCGAATCTATTCATCATTTGTGAACTGAAACATTTATACTTCACCATTTTGACGGTGTAATATCTTATGCAAAGCAAGGATAACATGATTTTGACAACCACTTTGACATGATTGTAGTATAGCTGCGACATCTGGAAATAGGAAACCAATACTTTGTAATGTTAAAATGTGTATACTGTTTTGTGAACTATATGTGTTATTTTTTTCACCTTTTTTTTCTGAGAGTACTCCTTCATGTACAGATTTTAACCTTCTTTGATAAAATGTGTATACATAATGCTAAAATGAAAACTTTGCAGTGATCAGAAAGAGTAAAAGAGTTACCTCTAACAAGGAGCTCCATTCATTTTCCAGGAAACTTGATGAAATATCGCATGCTAAGGTCGAACCGAAATTATGATTTGTTTCGAGACCCTTCTATGAAATATACACTAATCTGTCTGGGACAAGAGCCTTACATATTGTAAGGTATCACAATGAATTCGCCAATGATATCCATGTTTCATAAAATTCAAATGGATACCCTTCGGCATTTCTATATGATTAAGTCATGGGGTACAGATTTATTTTTCTGTGCCAGCTATAGTTTTGATCCATGATTTTTTCCGTAAAAGGTAGAAAAACACAATAATCAGATGACCAAAAGCCATGTAGACAGCGGAGCAGTAAGTCAATTTTGAACTAAGTCGAGTGATATATAATTTTATTTATTCAAACATAGTTTAATTTAAGATTCCAAAATTAACAAGACAAGCTGATCTGAGACTACTTGAACAGGAAGTAAGATTGCAAGCTGAAAAGTCTTGACATTCGAGACAAAAGTGAGCAACTTGTTAGTCACAAATTTTTGTTAAATTGTGATAATTATTTTATATTGATACATTTTTTTCATGATCTCAATCGTGACAAACAAAATTACATCCTACAAGATAACACAATTAGTCCTTTATATTGACGTAATTAACACATAATTATCATGCTAAAAAAACACTGCTTTGCACCACAAATGGATTTATCTGGAATCAAAGAATGATTCAAAACGATTCAGGACGTTTTATAAAATATTGATGTTTATCGCGTGTTGGCCTTTGAAGAACAGTTACGCAGGTGTAGCATAAAAAGAAATTCAGAGCAGCTATATCTGATAAATATTTCACATTGAAAAACAATTGAATGGAGCTTTGATAAATAGATTGAAACATTCCCTTTCATTCAGAAATGACAATTGCTTTATGACATGTTCCTTCACATTAATTTTGTTCATAGTTATGTCCCGTGACTCAGAAACTACATGCGTTGATTATAGTTGCATAATATGAAGCTATTTCGATTAGACATCTGTTATATAATTATGTTTACTTATGAAAGAGTAGAAAACTTTTTTGATAGTTGATTTAGTAGTTTCAGCGTCTAAATAACTAGTATGACAAAGCTTCAGAGAGACAATTTATATAAAGGGAAACAACTGTCCTATAGTAAGAAAGTTTTTAAGAAATTCTTGGATCAATTGTAAATACAATGCAAGTGGTGTCGCATAGCTGTCTTCTCTTTTCTTTCAAAGGCTTATAAGAATCTGCAATGATAAAAACAAGCAATAATATAATAATTTGATAAATTTCAATGTGATAAAACTGACATAAAAATGACAATGAAAGCAATGTTGTACAATTATTTTGTTTTCATGCAAAAGAAAGTTGAACTAGACCAGATAAAATGACTATCTTTCAGGGGTTTTAAAATTTGACCTAATGTCACCTATTCGCAAAGCTAGATTATTAACCTTATTTCATCAAAATTTGTATAAAATCGTAGAAGTCATAATTTTATTGGTCAATCAAACCATAAATATTCACCAAAGGCAACCATTCGGACTTTTAAAGCGCGAATGAAGTTATGTAAATGGGAAAAGGTCGTCAAGCCATTAAAATAAACCATAATAGTGTGCATTTACAACACGACGACCTTTTCTAAAGATTTTGTGCAATTTGATAATGCTTGACCGCTAAATGTATTGTGTTGATTGATTACAGATTTGGATTGGCGGTAAGTAACAGAGGCCAGACAGATCGACCCCATAGACCTCGTTTTTTTTTTTTTTTTAGGGGATTTGGAATCGTGGTTATCCTTGTTATTAAGTGATCAACTTACCACCTTCATGAATTTGCCAGAACTGATCTTCTGAATCGAAAAGGCTCAGACAGTAATGACTCCTTGGCTTCATCCAACTGTCTCGTAACCTGTCGATCATTTCATCTTCATTATCTTTAATGAAGGCTAGACCATGGTCGATAGTATTGTCATCATACAATTGTCTGACTTGGTCAACATATTCTGATGTGAATTCTTTTTTATTTTGAATGTGGTCGAATTCAAACCAGCAGTAGGTTGATTTAACTGAAAATATACAAACACATTTATTGTGAAATATAGTTTAAACGGTGGAAAAGCAGAATTCAAAATATCAAAAATGTGGAAATTAAATGTCTATAAAAGGAGCTATAATTTTTTCACCGTGTAGACATGGTAAACAATATATTTAGACTGAAATCTTGTTTAATATGAAATATTCATCGATTTTGATATTTATGTGGTCATATTTTTTATACAATATGGTGGCAGTAAAGAAAAACTTGTTCTGTGTGGGTATTTTGATGCCCTGGAGTATTGGTTAAGTTCTTGTGAACTAACATGAAAAAAAAATAATGAAGTTATTAGTTTAATTGAAGATATCTCGGTCGTTATTGGGAAAATAAACACCAAATTCTTTTGTAATTTATGGCTTTAGATAAATATTGTCAAAGCTAAGGTTATCATAGTGAAATGTGTTTAGTTATATTTCTTAAAAACGTAGAATGTAAAATAATTACACCATATCCTACACTTGATGCATTGTACATCCAACGCGAGATCTGTATCTTGCCCTCGGGACTACAGCATGTTGATGGTTAGGGTGATAAGTTTATGAGATCTATACAAAACTTGCAAAGAGCTAATACTCACGAGTTTCACGCAGTGTCATCTTTAGAAAGCATGTGTGCCTACTGATGTTTGACAAATAGCTTCTAGTGAAAAATTTGAGAAACAACATGTTTTTGTTATTTTGTATTGATTCTAGTAAAAATATTTGAATAGTAAATATATTTTGTTATTGTAAATTTATTGTTATTTTGATAGTATATAACTCAATAGTTTTGAAAACTATGTTCATCGTCAATTGTGTCGTATCAACAAGTACATCTACTAATGAGTCCCACATCCTACTTTGTAAGGCATGCTGAGGACACGATGTCCAGTTTAGAAACAATTATTTAATAAATTTGGGTATATTTGTTAAATAAAAGTTTGGAGGTGTGTTTGGTCAAAGTCCCAATTTTGTAAAAATGAACGGCCATTGACAGTAAGACTATATTATCGATATACTAAATATCAACCTACTTGAATCTGGTACATATCGTATAGGGACCGTAAATACGTCAATACCATTACTTGGTGGAGGGAAATCATGCTGCTTCAATTCTGGTTCGCTAATGTACCATAGTCTAGCTTTGCTCTGAGCGGGAAAGGCTAACACGAGAAAACACCAGTCGTCATGTGCCAACCAACCACTATCCGCAGGAGCCTCTACCACTGTCGTCTATAAAATATGTATTATATATTCTACTTACAACTGAAAATATTTTATCTTTTGGTGCAATTAGCCAAATAAATACAAGAAACTAAAAATTGGCTCAGGTCGACTGGCAATTTAACGCATCTCATAGGATCCACATCAGTGAAACTGACTACTAGCAACTGCAATCAATGGAGAGATCAATGCCAGAACCCAATTTTTAATAGAAGTGGACGATGAATAATTGTGGCAACGGTATTTTTCAGATACGCTCATGTAGATAAGTGCAATGGTTTATCAAATTCTCCAATAAACTTCTTCAATTTATAATAAATTCAATAGCTACCAGGCTCCAATTCGTACTGAGCTAATTGTATGGTAATTTGCATCAGAAATTTTATCATCTTTTCTGAATATACCAGAATAATTCTGGTTGCTATAGAGTATCTGCTGTTACCTTATTTGCAAAGCCTAAAACCGATCCACCATACTGCTTTAATCTTCCAAGAAACCTTACTACAGCATTTCGCATGCGCTGATCTAATTCAATTCTATATCTGATAAACAGCAGACATGAACCTCTTGCGAAAGGTTCCTGTTGGTAAAGAAAGATATATTGTATTAAAATATCGAAAACTAATTGGGTTGAACAGATATGCAATATTTTATGGGGTCTTCCGGAAATAATAATTAAACCGTTAAATATTCAATGTTATTATGACCGTAGGCTATACCATAAGAGTTCGTTTCTACGCCCAACAAAATTAATTGACATAACATTTTGAAAAAATACAAAAATCTTACGTTATTAAGAGTTGATTCATAAGTGGAATTGAAAGTTTGTTTGCTTTTTGGTTTTGGCATGATTCTTCTTTTGTAACAGGTTCAGACACTCCTTTGAAAATGAAAAAAATAACCCTCGAGCTAGTTTAATCAAAATATATTTTGAATGAAAAAGTATTTGAATTTTTCAAAAAAAAAGATAAAAAGTTAAACTAACTTGTCGGACTATTCTGATTAATATAATCGTTAATTAGGAAAGGTCTCGTACTTCCTCTTAAGCTACATGATTATTATTTTACAAAACCATTTTTAAAACCGAACAATATAAATAATATAATAAAGATATAAATATGTATCCCCACGCTCAAATTACACACCGCTCATTAAAACCTAAACATATTTAAAAAGTCACATATTATCATGCATATTATGTTGATAAGCTTTAAATGTAAAAATACATCTTTCGTTTCCCACACACAAGCAATTAGCTTAATTTGAAAATTATCAAACATGTTTGATTTTGCAACTTTTCTTCTCAGATGAACATATTCTTTATAAACTTTACCAGTGCCACAGGCAGCAGCCTGTAGAACAATATGTGCACGAATGAATTCGAGCTGTTGTTTTTTTAGGCGCCTGCAAGTAATCAAGGGAAATAACTTCATGCTATGTACAAGAAATATACAATATTAATCGAATGTCGGTAGGCAGATGCTTCGGCAGTTGGATGATAATGTTCATCCGCCAATACCATTTTCTCAGATTGTGGAAAAAAATCAAAGATAACCGTTCCTCATACTTTCCCTTTTTTGTCGTGTGTTTACATACATTCCCTTTCGTAAAACCGGTTTGTTATTGTATTTTGTAGGCCTATTGTGTATGTATTTGTCTTTAATCGTGTTCTCAAATATCGTTGCCCGACTAATTATGTGTTTAAAAAAGCATAGGCCTACTAAGAAAGTAATTGCACTGAATTCAACCATATGCATAACCCTCTCTTCTGGCCGTAGATTTAATCGACATATGAGATTCGCTTTAAATTGATCGTTTACACTTCAATGATCAACTAAAGTTCGGAAGCCCTGGAGAAAATCGGGGTCTGGAATCGAATCGAAAACGAGCAACGAGGACGGATGATTAAGTGTAGTGCAAAAATTAACTGTGGTTAAAACATAAACCGAACTCTTTGAACGAAATAACAGATTCGACCTAAATACTCTTTGCTTGAGTAGCTTAGTGAGTGTCAAAGTGACAATTTCAGTTATATTTAGACCATTTACAGTCGGATTAAGGAGAATTAAGCTATATTATGATGTAATGCACACACACATACCTGATATTATGTAATCAAACCTGTAGATATTATCAGTTGGCAGCTAATTTGCCTAGTGATCGTATATTGCTACGGCAAATAATCGTAACCAATATAAACAATATGGCGATAGCTAGTTGTCAACAGTTATGTATAATATAATAGTCAGTTCATAGTATTGACAAGCTTGACGACACATTCTTTTGTGTCTATTGTACAGTTTTTAGGGGAGATAAATGATTAAATATTATATTACAGACTACAATTAATTTCTACCTAGTATGAATTGATCAATGTTTTATAAAACCTCCCATCAACGAATATCACATTTGGTAATTATAGAATTATATTGAGGTAATTTCTAAATACATATTTTTATAAGAATGCATATCACTGTGAAAACCAGAATGTCTTTCAACTGCTCCTGTACAGTTTTGCCCAGTCTTCGACATAGTAACCTTAAACTGCGGATGATTATCATAAGTTGTTCCCCAGCTCATCAGATCCTTTCGAGAATCAAAAATGCTAGCTGCAACTCTTAAAAATTCACCTTTTCGCCCAAGACTGTGAACTCCACGAAAAATATCATCGGAAGTAAGCGCATCATCGTATTTCTCGTGTCCTAGTAAGTTTACTTTTGTGGGCGAAAAGGTTACTTTGTGTGATTTTAAGTTAATTATGTCGCCATTGGTGAGATATGTAACATAAACGTTGTGTATGGAAAAGTATTTACTGGTTGTGTCTTGATAGGATTTTGACACATCTATAATCGTCACACCAAGTTCGCCAATAACCTGCAAGAGATAATAATAGAGATTTATATTTGTCTTCCCTTCTTCGACTTGCATGTGATAGACAGCAACCATGTTCTATATTTATTTACGTTTTTTTGGTACAAAATACACAATTACACATACTCGTATACCCATGGAGCACGAACTTTCTTTGGTAAAATAGCCTAATATTGTCAGCAGCATCTATTTATTCGACGGCAGGGTGTGAAGGTGGGTTATGCGGCTGTGCAGTTGGAATAAATTTACTCCTGCTGACACCACTGTGACCACCTTTCTTAGACATAGTGAAAGAGGTATGCATACTAGTCATCTGATAATTTTCATTATTGTGCTATGATCAAAACCTACCTGTCCTGTGATTCTATGACTGTCTTCAGCATGTTTTATAACTAATGCCGTGTTTTCATCAACGCCAATACCAAAGTTAACTCCTAGTTTAGAATTCTTTGTATCAGAGAGTAACCTTATCAATCTGCCTTCCCTTCCTCGATTTCTGAAATATCAGAAAATTCAGTCACGTCATGCACGGGTTATCAATTTTAAAAAAATAATGTCAAAGGATAGTATGCTATGCTGAACATTATATGTAAATACGAAATCGATTTATCAAGTTTATCAAGTTATGCCTGATAATTTCTTCCTTAGAGAAATGTTTTTTACCTTTCACATTTTAAAGACCATAACATATAAACGGAAAAACACGACTTTCAGGTTCAAAACAACAAACAACTGGGTCACTGGGTGCATTCCAAAGCAAAAGTTCATTTGTATACGTTTTTCATATGTATAATTTCAACCAGGATTGTTGTACGATGTTACGACTTGTTAGGGCAATGTGAAAAGAAAAGCAAATATTACACTGACATTTTAGAGAGTTTGAAGTGAGAAAATTTTTTGAGGCGTCTTTGATTTGAAAGAAAAGACTGGACAGATCACGGTTCGTTAAATATGGCATTCCCATTTCGTCTTTGTAGACAGAATATATTTCCATGAGCAACCCTCGTAGAAATATCTGACCTACCCGAAATGAGTGTCTAATACGAAACCAGCTAACAATCCAGTTCCACCATTAGGATTGTAAAGCAAATCTCCCGAGTGCGATGAACTTGTGTGAGAACCATATCGCAGGGCATCGTAGCTATCTCCACCTGAAAATTGAGGTTATAGGTTTCCTGAGATACGATGATAATGGGAGACACAGAAAGTTGGTTATAAAGGTTGGATTTAATTGAATTTAAAGAAGACCTGTCTACATTCATTGTTCGGTTCATTGAATAATGCAGAACGCACATGAAAACATATTGGTTATGCCTTGTCCTAATCAGAAAGCAATCTGTTGTCTTTTTGGTACAAATTTATCGCCCTTACAATTTTTTCACAAAACAAATCATTAATATTTGTATTGCTTTGAGTTTCGTGTTGCTTTTTCGACGGAATTTTCTTAAGTTCCTGATGTTGAAATTTCTAGAGTGACATATCTTACATACCTTCTATCATGACAGAAGCCGTCTGACAAGTAGTACCAGCACTACTTCCAGAGACTACCGCCCCTAATTTGTTTCGCTCAGCAATAGCTAACATTGCAGGTGATGGAGTATGGCCGGCATTAAAAAATCTGAAATTAAATGCAAGAAGATATAATAATACCAAAAAAGGAATCTTCTTCGACCTACCCGATACGTTTGGTTAAAAACCAATGCAGTTTATTTCTCGGTGAAATGATTTTTGAAATAAAAATTACTATGCCTTAGATTATTGAATGTTACCAGTAGTCCAACACGTGACATGTTGAAATGTTTTACAAAAGAAACGGTTTAAGGCCTAGAATTTTAATACATTTTGTATATGGCTTTCTATAAGCTGTTGTTTTCATTCCTCTTATCCAACTGGGTATAAGAGAATTTTGGATGTAACGATCGCACGGTGGTCGGAACACATTCAGCCAAACCATTTTTTTTTCAAAGCCTATCTATACAATCATGGTTAACAAATTACTCTGGTAAACTTTTACAACAAACATAGTGGTTTTAACAGCTCAGAAGAAGGTTTTCTTAAGATTGCTTTTGCAATTGATTTCTACATCATCATTATAATACAAATAACGTGCACAAGTCACCAGACAAATCGCTAATATTGACAATTTTAATGTTTGAAAAATAGCTTTGTCACGTTAAGATAATTGATCATATTTACAATAAAATTAAATTAGCTCTTTGATCTTCTCTGTTATTAGTTTTTGCATTATTCTCGAGGTTTCAAGCTTTTGAAGCTGCTAGAATACCTATAACTGGTATAGTTAGTTGGATGCCTGGTTAGATTATGAGATCTCCGGATTTCCAGTCTGGTTCCCCTTATAAGTGATGCAAATCAGAGGGGCTCACATGGATAATGTGTCTAGCATTTGTGATAAATAAATAAATGGAGGTCTCAATGCCACTTTCTGACAAAATGTCCCAAAATGCACAAAGTGTAACCTCTGCATTAATCCAATTAGAATTTGACACCATTCGAATCGCAGTGATCTTTCACTGTTGAAGACTCCATTACTGAATCGACGTGTACAGTGGTGACCCACGCTTCATGTTGATAGTGCAAAAATTGAATGGTGTTGTTTTCATTGGACTATTGTGGTGTTAAAATGTACGAACTCCATTGCATTCATATAATATTTGCCTAAAACCTTACGATTGTATGATTCTGGCCTGGTCACCTCCAGAAAAGAAAAATCCTGTCATCTGATGAATCAATTTCACAACATCAGGATTGGAATTGTTACCCTTCTGGTTTACCGTGATAGGTATGAACGATGCATCAGAAGCGCCATGTTTCAAAAATATTTCACGATATGCTTTAAATGATTCGACAGGGGTGCTGGATGCCGCCGATATCACACCAATCCGAGCCACACCTTTACCACCCTACAATGAGAAAGGGATGTAGAATCGTCAACTAATATATAGTGTATATTTCAATGACGGTATGATCTTGTTGAAGGTAGATATCTGTGGCAAAATTATATATGTGGAACTAATACAGAATTATCTACTTAGACATGCCATAAACGATGATTGATGGATGTTTAAGACAAAAATTATGTTTAATCCGATTTTAACATCTTCTTTGATTGATATACTTCCTCATCTTAATTGTTAACTCATTATTAGGATGGTCGGCCTTATTTTTAGCTGTAGACATAAACGAGCTGGATGCGTTAACATCAATTTGCTTACAGTTGAAGTCGGTTGACATTCCGATGTTAGCGCACCTTTGCGCTCTACATTTTCAGATTTCCAGATAACTGACAAAAATTCGAAATTCGTTTCTTGGAAGCATTCCTTACAATGTAAAAATACATACCGCCATCTCAACAATTTGATTCCACACTGGATGATTGTCGTCATGAAGATTGCCTCCTGCTAAAACAAAACTTTTGCCATATTTCGTGAATTGGGACAATCGTACAGAGGCAGTATAAACAGTGGCAATCCAAAGGCCCAACAATGGTAAAAAAGCAGTATGTTGTATAAACGTCATTTCAATTATCAAGTTTTGGACACCTGTCATGAAATCTTGCTGTTGATAATCTCTTACAGTAAGTGCTACTGATAAGAACTTTAAAGGAACAGTTACACATTTTCTTTACCTTTCTCTTTATATTGTTTTGAAAAAGCAATAATGCAGTCCAGGAATAAAGTAAATCCTTTCCTCTCTTAAGAATGTCCTAGGAGAATGAAATCTCGTTGTTTTGGAAAACAAATAAAATATTTAAAATAAATAAAGCTGCTTAGGATCAGCGTCATAAAAAAATAAAAGGGCTCAATATCACCTGTAGCGATTTTTCTCACTTTTTATTCATCAAATTTCATGACATATTTCAATATGAAAATCAATTTTTAAGCAAGCTATAGACAGAAAGAGGGGGAAATTGTACTCTTAATGTTAGTAAGTCCACAAAAATAGGTTATCATACCCTGTTTTATTTCATAAGAACCCGGCCTCGGTAAATACACTACGTTAAACGGCAGAGTATCATATGTACCTTTTCTCTAAGAACATACTAGTATAATTATTCTTTCCATCAAAATATCACAAGATTAAGACATTTGCTCGCTAACCTGGGTTCAAATTGGAATATGTCCAGATATACTTTTCCCCGTCAGTAATGCAGGCCGGAGGTGATGCAATGGCGGAAAGATCACCCGACAGTTAGGATCCGAACATAGAGTAATCACTGTCCAACTGAATTTCTACCATACAACACCATCTTCATTAGTTTCATCAGGTGCAGAGACGTAGGACTCAAAACACCATTTCATTTTTATTTCTTAATGCAGTGACTATATGATTCCCATTAAAACGCTATACAACTATGTCCCTCCGACCAATTAATTTGAACATTCAGTATAAGTACAATACCGTTAACAAGAGTAAACAATGGCCCTTTCGTTACCAAGATAAGGTTTCAATACATTTAGTATAGTATAGCCTTTGTGGTGACTTCATAAAGAGTATATTAAAGTAGGTTTCAATATGGTGGTTATTGCACTACGAGTATGTGAGTATATTTGTATATAGGAAGATATCTTTCATTTATACAATATGTAATAGTTCAAATCTAATACAAATCTAACATTTCCTTTGATATTTTGGCATTTTATTGAGTTTACATGCACGAAATGTTACAAGTACATCCATCCGAGAATAAAGCACATGAATATCATAGCGTTTTTAATAACAAAGATCTATGCGAGAAGGGGCCTATCTAAGAAAGGAATATAGATCTTTTTATTGTTACGTTGACATAAACACTGCTTTATCTGCGATAAGACAATGACCAGGCAAATCGAAAGCAGCCTTTATTCCCTCATAACTATAACAAGAGCCTCATTCATTCATCTATCTGTTCAAATAAAACATTTAATACTTTTAAACTGAAAAATGTGGTATTGTTTCAATTTAATGTGCCTGTTGAGCACGTCATAAAGTTTTCAGCTTCAGATATGGTTGGATAACAATGGATACTTAGAACAATCATTGGTTCTGTACATATTCAGATATAATGACAATTATTCCTTATGGAATAATATATTGAAATGGAACATATCTTTTGTAAGGCAAGTTCAAAAGTGTGACACAAATACGAAAGCTAGAAACGTTTATCTCTTTGATTTACTGATTTTATTTCAACCTAGGAAATTAAAATTCACACCCAGAAAGTCAATAGTGGTATATTTTGATAAAGTCAGGGCTAAAATACCATTTTACGATATTCCCATTAATATTCAAACTGTTAAAGTTCGAGTCAAGGGCAGAAACCCTATAAACATTTTAAATATTATCAATAAAAGGCAGAACCGTCTCCAATCATATGCACCTATATATGCATGTGTATGGTAGCCGTGGGATAGAAGCAAATAAAAGCAGACCAGAGCAAGCTTGCCTTTATGTTGTTTTAAATATGATCAAATATGATTTACAAGCGATAAAAAATTAAAATGGTTCTTAATTTAGCTTCAATTTTATTTATTCTGGTTGCCAATTGTTGAATTCGTAAATCAAGATCTAAAAATTGTACTTAACCCATTTCTTAAGGGTCAACTGTCGTTAGAACGAATTGCCTCTGGAACTATTGTTGTGGATCTAATAGGCAGCTTTTCTGGCAGTTATGGTTATGGAAAAATGGTTGAAAATATCTGAACGCAATACATTTACCTGAATATCGTCCAATACAAACCCTATTCGATTTCATGGAAACTTCTTACAGAATGTAATGTTCATTATTTTCAATTCGAAGTGTTTGAGTAACGACGTAACTTACTTTTTCAGGTTTGTAGAGGACTAATTTCAGTTTACCTCTGAAGGTTTTATGAATGCAAATAAAAATAACCACTTAACATAACATAACTTACAGCACGTGGAGACTAATCCATTGTCAGAATGACGAGTAGGTATATTGAATACTAATGAAAAGCCGATTAGAATAGAAAGGGTTAAAAGGCGATCATTATTGTGTTAATACGTATTATGATTAGGCTATATCAAATACCCCATTTTACTGTGACGCCTTTTACTCCTAAATCCACGAATTGTTCGCTATATTGGTTAATTCAGTTTTATCTCGGTAGCCTAATAAACCACGTTGGTACGTATTTGCCTTTATTTTATATTTTGAAAAAATCAAATGGAAGGAGGTTTTTATTCTAAAGCCACGATATGTAGGTTGGTGGTTTTTTCTTAATGACCTAGTGTATTTTGTTGACCACTTCGTGCTTTACTTGTTATAGGTACAGCAGACCCGTCATATATCCAGGCTGTGTCAGTTTTGTATAGTCCCAGAAAATCAGCTAAAATGTCATCGCGGAGCAGTGTATGTAAATCAGCGCCTTTATCAAGAACAGAGTTTAGCTTACGCCGAATGCAAAGCAAAAGTGATATAATAAGTGGAAATCTAACTGGAATAAAAAGATGCCAAGAAAAGTCTCAAGTTCTCGACGAACTTCTTTTGATATATGGAACCAATTCATATAAATACGTAAGTACTATATTGAACCAGATTGATACGGGGATAATGAGAGGATGATGACTGTATAGAATTCGAAGCGGATGATGAACACAATACGTGTAGTTATTATCCTAGAGACCATTATTTCATCAATAGCCCGCAAAATAAATGAATCATTATTTTAAATCATATTTTTTTTAACAAAAGATTGAGTCACATGGGAATTGTACCAAAGGATACGCCCAAGATCTAGCTTTTTAATCGACCATCTTCAGAAAGTTTTGAAAAGAGAAATACCATGTCTATGAAATGAACCAACAGTCTAAATTTCTCGTCTGTGAGAATTTTAACCTTTGTTTATAGCGATATTTACCGTATTCTGGGCAAGTTGGCTGCCATTTTAAGGAATCACAGATATACATCAAGACATTAAGAAGTTATTTGTAAACCCCTTCAAAATACATCAGTTTTATTTGTTTAAAAAGATGACCAATTTGAATAAAAACAATTAATTCGATGCAGAAACAATGACAACCACCATAACCATTGTGTCCCTTTTCCTGTTTCTTTATCACAGAAAAGGTTTAAAATCCTTCAAACACCGGATGGAGAAAACGTTTTAATCTTGAACCTCTTCCTGAAAAAAAAAATCTCGTTTTGCTTAACTTGAATGGCATCATGAAATAAATAATATGATATATGTGGAATGTAGGTAGAAAATTTAAAGATACATTTGTTTGAACTAGTACATGTTTTATAAATCTTGTTCAGTTTACCCTTTTTCTTGATATTGTATTAATTAGTATTACATGTTGGGTGCAATAATGGCTCGGTTAATGCTTGGTGACTAACCTGAAACTTAAGTGCAGGTTTAAATTCCGGGTAGAAATATTTGTAGATATAATTATCTAAACTTAGTATGGCAGGATTGAAGCCTGGAACTTAGTGCACAAGATACAAACTCATTGAGCCACTGTGACCCCGAGGAACATATTAAAAGCGACCGACAAGTATATACGCGCTTTGTCCTTAACCTTATACCGATTTAAGGCTTAAAAATGCTCTGGAATATTTTATTCTCAATGGAAACCATGTAGGTTGTTTCATTAAAACTCAAGGATAAAACTCAGAAATAGTTGTCGAGTTATTATCATTGATCAGAAATATTATTTCGATTATTTTGTTGTATTATTTAGTTTGTTTTGAGACATTTTCTATATATCCTGTTCATACCTATCCGTAAACAAAACTGACGTTACTTCTTTAGAATACCAGCCAAGCGTGGTTATTGATTACATTGTATTGAACTGGGTGCAGATTTCTAGTTTTTACGTACTGAATTGTACTCTAAGCTATAACTTCATATGGAATATATAGCGATGTTTCGTTAAAAGGAATTTAATGTTTTAATTCAGCCATCCGACGCCTTTCAAGTAATGGAACATATTTCCATTTTGTATGAACGTTTAATTTTCCCAATAACAAATGTATATCGCAAGATATTTAAAAAACGTGGCCGTTATCGGAAATATCCGAATAAGAGATTTATACGAACATATCTGTTTTTCTGTGACAAAAAAGATCATAATAATTATCAGTACGTATTGATTTCATCTGTAACTTCTTTGAGCCCTCATTTTACTCATTTCAGTTTGACTTTTCGAAATTGACGTCTACATGGATATCAGAAGTTCAGCCAAGAATTGGTATGCATGATCCCTCTTTTTTCTTTACGAAATTACATTTAACCATGTTGTATATCTTGTGGCGTCAATGACCAAAATATTTGTAAACCTTTGGAATGAATTAAGAATTGTAACTATTAAGGCTTACATTTTCATTCTTTGATTTAACAATTGTGAATAGTAACTTTATTTTGTCACCATTTTGCCAATATCTTCAGAGAGAGTTTTATTAAGTTTTCGTAACTTGTACTCAATCCATTTGATATTTGTCAATAAACTAAGTTTAAACCACTCGACCAAGACCGCGATTAGACGAGATATAGTGTACAATGCGAAAACTTTCTATTGCACCACTTTAGGCCTACCAGACGCCGTTCCTCGTCTATTTACAATTTACACCTCATGCATGAAGCAGAACGGTGCACAACGGAAATCGAATAGCAAGCGTGTGCATAGTTCGATAGGTTTGCACGTCTGACAAAAACCAAACCAATTCAAAAAATAAATTAAGTAATAGATAGCGGAAGAATATAGACTAATTATGTTTGTGTTGTTGTTTTGTATAAATTGCAATTTTAATATTTATCCAACAATATGTGCACTCTACCTTACCTAGTCATTTTTTATTTTCCAACTGATATCTTTTTTCTTTTAAATTGAACTTACAGGTACAGCTTGGATGTGTGATAATGAAGCTTGCAGGCAAATGTATTCAGTAAGTGGCACTTTCTTTCCATTATAAAGTAAAAAGCGAATATTATCAAAACATTGTCGACATCCATGATATGTTACCTTCTGGGCAATTACAATAAACCCTACAGAAGAGACCTCGATCAACTAAAAACACAAAACAAGTGGACCATTTTATGAAAATTCGTTTCTACTGTCTATAATTTCAGACTTCAGCTTTGTACCCACGGAAAAGGTTAGGAAGTGCATTAAGGGTACCTCTTCCAAAACTTCATAACACGTGCAAGTAAGAGACCTAACACTCGTGGTCTTAACTTAAAGTGGTGCTACAGTTTTGTTATTTGCAAGTATGGTATCGATATCGGACGTTATCTGTGAAAAATGTGTGTATGTCTTCTTCACTACTTTCTGACTTTTTTGCTCTTATGTGACAAAAAGGAATATAAGATGCATTCTAAAAGGGAAATGACAATTTTAGTCTTTCAAGTACCATCATATATGATTATTTTCTGATAATTATGAACCATACTTCAAACTTTTTTATGTCTACTAGTGTTCGGGGTTAAATATATATGAAGCACCATGTTGAACCAATCTATTGAAGCAATACAATTATTTGAATTTGTAACGACGATAAGACGGGTTGGTATTAAATCAAAAAACAAAAAAAAGGAACAGCCTTTTCGGACCTCCATAAGACCCTTCTGATCTGTAACAAAAACCCCTTTTCGAATTAGTTAACAGCTCGTACATTATGGTGTGGTGGGATTTTTTCAAAGCAACCCGTGCCTTTCGGCTATTTAAGACTTGATTGTCATGCTTGATAATAAGAATATAAGGTTTGAATACGGTGTATTCCCTGTTAAATAGCAATATTTCCGGTGATGTTCAAATTAAACTTATTAGATTTAACATTGTGTGTTTTGTATTTTCATTATTTGAAATAAACTATCCTAGTAATAGAATTAATTTTTCAAGATATCAACTTCCAAGATCACATTTTTATAGCATTGTAATGAAACGGTCTTGCAATAGTTTTTCCTTTAAAATTGTATTCCATGGAATATCAATTTAATGTTTCGAATATACCCTCCGAACAACTTTCACGGTTTTAACGTGACAATAAGATTGATTGAATTTAAAATAATAGCTTATTCGTGTATAAATGATCAGTATACTCGTTATGTTCACAATATCGAAAAAAAACCTTTAGTATAATCAGTGTATAGAGAATAATAAACCGCTTCATAATGTCGTAAGCAGTTTAAAATTGAACCCAATACGTGCTTCTTTTTTATCTTTTTATTTTTTGTAAAGACCTGCACATGAATGGATACCACAATGTACCATGAGAGGTAATTATTTAACCCAGTTCTCTCTGTCACAATTTCGTTGCATCTTCAGGGAATAGCGTTTGCTGGTGTTCATTGTTTACATGCCCAATTCTTATTAATATTTGACAGAATCAATATTATGTAAGAAGTTCTAATATCAGTTAACATCAAAATATAGAAATATATAAAAAATATTTCAGTATTCAAGTCACAAAACGCTTTTGTGCAAAGATACCCACTAAGTGATTCAGTTAGCAATTGATATTATTCTTTGAACACTAGTTTAAGGTCGCAATAACCCTTTTTCTTTTAATTAGCCTCCTATTATTTCAAAACTAAATATTATTAAAGACATTCTTGAAAAATTGAGGTATTGTATATTTCATTTAATTAATGTGATGTTACAAGATGATTTGTATTTTGATAGTATTTCAATTAAGATGTCCCAGATGGAAATGGTGATAATGATTTGCTAGTGTGTGCGGTGATCGTAAACTATGATTAGAGGCATATTGGCATCCTACTGAACAACGCTGGAAAATGATAAACGAATAAATTAAACAAGCGAGGAGAAACTTGTCTCGAAGCGGATAACTTTAGAAACACGCATACATGCACGTTCATGACTAAAATTATCAAACGCCTTTGTTGTTTCATTTAAATTTCGCTACGTATAACCAACATCTAGCATAAATTACCTGTAAAGTGACAAATTAATGGAGTTTTACGTCATACTTTTCTACACCCGACATATACAAGAATGAATACTACTGACATTGTGTGCATATTGCTTTAGAGACGCTTCAAAATATGCATGTGGGATTAATAAAACAAAACTTAAAGTAAAGAGAAGTATTTGATTGAGGCCACTTTTTAGAAACATATTATATTTAATCTTTATCGATTAGATCCTTTATATGAACTATCACAATATCTTTCATCGCATTTTATAGATGTCCGTTCTTCATTCAGGACAAGATGGGAATTATAGTCTTCATATGTAAGTACTTATCAAATGTGGGTTCATCTGCGTTTCTCTTGGATGACTGGCAGTCATTTACTGGATATTTATTTGTAAATTCATGTATCAGTTTAGTAATGATAGTCTTCGAACTTTTTCTTCAGTGCAAACAATATACCAATATTAATCGTTGCACATTTTAAGTCATCGGTAAAATGTGATTTCAATTCTTGCATCTGTTGGCTTTTTTACATGCATAATTCTTGTTATCTGGTTTGCACACCTTAAAAAAACAATGAGCACCAGAAAGACCTCACAATTACGTTGGTTATATTCTAGTCGTTGCATTCAAAACTACAAGTACTTGGAGTATTCAGCATTCATCGGCAACTTTTTTACATGCCTAATTCTTGCTATCTGGTCTCCACGCCTAATTTCCATTTCATTAACTTTCATTAAGCACCAGATAGATTGGATTAACCTCACAATTACGTTGGTTATAATTTTTTTTTGTTCTTTTGTCTTAAATTATGAGATTAGATTATATTCAAAGACAGCTTTGAAATTCATCGGTTTCTTCAGGATGCATACATTAAACACATTTTGCATATATTGTGGTTTCCTTTATTTTCAGTTCTTATTGAGCAAAGTGTTGCACTGGTTTCACCAAAGTACCTGTACCCGCTAGGTGGAGATAGTTTTACTTACGATGTCATCAATAACCAGGACGGAATAAATCCACAGTCAACAGATTGCTTCACTGTTGGACCAAATCATCCTCAGCTTAGTTTTTCAGCCATGTATTTCGATATGAATGTTAATAAATATGCAGATGTCAGGATTCCGTCAGATACCTCGATTTCCGATATTGGTTTCACTGTTTTTTTCAATGCCTTAGATCCATCGGGTTATCTTTTTCATTACCGTTCGGACAATCAAGGAAATATCAACTTTATAACAGAAATGTATGTTAAAATAGATAATGGTCAAGTCATTTCCAAAATTGACAGCAGTAGTTATTCAGCCTCTCCACTTGTGTTTCCTGTTGGAGCTAATGGGCCTCATACCATCTCACTGAATACATGGATTATGATATCCTTTTCGAACTCCTACTCTGGCACAACAACACTTTATGTCAACACGCTTGTGGAAGATTACACACATCCGTTTAATTTTAGATTGAAAACACCCGGGACATTACGATTCGGTGCATCTCTGCTTTCACCGACTAATGCATTTCACGGATTTATGACATGTGGTGCTCTTTATAATGTTGCAAGTGGTTTTGACAATGTTGCTGAAATTTTACAATACTGTTCGGAAACAAATTGGCCGAACTTACCCCCAAGTAAGTATTAGAATTTGTATATATTGTTAAATGCGCACATTTTAAAAACCTTACTCGAGTTCCTAAATACAAGCATGAATCTTGCAATCTGGTCCCCATGCTTTATTTCTACTAAATCAGTACTATTTTATTGGGCATCAGGAAGGCCTGATTTTGTCCCACCATTAGGAAGCATCGTATGACAGCCAATATTGGCTAAATAAGGTAAAATATTTGCTGAACTTTTGCACAAAAGGAGCCCTCTGAGATCTCTTTAAATTACTTAAATAACTTTTTGCCTTTCAACCACACTAAACCAAGTATTTGTTATAAGAATCAAATATCTTCTGTTGTGATTACAGAGTATTTTGACCCAGTCTGCCATGTCCAAGGGACTAACTAAAATTTATGGAAATGGAACTTAATCGAGATCTTGCTAACACATAGTTTCTTCATTATCGGATAAAATCTGCTACGACTCTATTATTGCGTTCACAAATCAAATATGCACGGCGGACAATACAAACAATAGGTGCTAGTATTCTTTACAGAGAGAGATGGTGGCAATTTGAAGATAACACTTTTGTCATTTCAGAGCCAACATGTCAGAACTGGTATGTAACAGTTTCAGTTCATCACCTCTTTCCGTTGGATGACGTGGCATGGACATCTGATGTTCATTTGATGCTCCACAACAATAACAACAAATGTTTGAGATCAGGAAAAACTCATCCAAGTTTTGATCACCGTGGTCTACGTTTTGATGGCTCGTCATATTCCAGTTTAAAGCTAACAATAAACAGTAGTGATTTATCAGGAGACTTTTCCCTTATGACTTATATTTATTTTCAGAACTTCTCGTCAGGAAAAATAATTCAAATTCTATCCTCATCGGGAAACACTGTTCTAGAATTAATACACACAGGCACGGGTGTTTATTTCGAAGCATTTACAACAAGTTCTTCGTGTGCCCTTTCACATATCACTACAAATATCAATTTCAATTCGTGGATTCTGTTGGGAATACTGAGGGAAACAAACCAATTACTGGTGTCGATTGATGACAGTATTTTTCATATTCCTGATACTTGCGGTTCATTTGGATTATCTGGCAATGCCTACATTGAAATAGGTAATTCTGAGAGAGGGAGTATTGGATTTCGTGGTAGCATGAGATGTCTTGTTCTTTTCAACGAATTACTCGATACTAATGTTGGAAGTACTATGAAACATTATTGTACATCAGCACAATCGGATGCTGTAGCAAGTGAGTATAGATAACGTTTTTCGCAGTAACGGATATTACCTAGATTTTGCACTATCATATTGCATTTTAAACTAATTAATTTACAAACCTATAATGTTCCTTAATCCTCGGCCGAAATTTGTTGTATAGACACACTGTGGGGTAGCCAAGATTGCATCGACGGGGTTGGGGCTTGTGTCGTCCCTTTGCAGAAGTTACAGGGCGAGGGGTCTAAATATATGATGTACCATTAATTTTATATGCGATAGGTTATAATACATCATCGTTCTGCAAGGCAAATACACTAATTAATGTGTTTATTATTTATTTCAGATGTTATCAACAATTGTGCTCTACAGCCTTTATGTGAGAGAAAATACCTGCTCTTAAGACATAATATGAAGCCAGTAAACGCATTTCAACAATTATCATCTGGCATCTTTCGTTCACTACCGGCTTGTGCAGCACATTGTTTTACGCTTGCGGACTGTAGATCATTTACGTATAATAATAGTCAATGTGTAACATATGATGAAGTCACAGCTGCCGGTTTGATTAATTCTCCTGGGGTACGGTATTACATCCTTGCTATTTGAGCAATTTCCGATAAGAGCAACTATTATGGTACCTATTCAGGGAATAGGCATATTTAACTGTATAAAATATAGTTGGGGAAATAAAAAAAGGAGTTTTCGTATTTATATTAGTGATATTAAAATGAGGAATAAACATGATTGTTCTTTGAGATGTAATACTGACCACGGCGGCTATTTAAAAAGTGGACAATATAAAATTTTGACTCACGTCCTACTCTTCTTCAACTGCAGAACAAGACGGCTAAAAGCTAAAAAGCACTAGTTTTGGGCGTGCATGACCTTGTGGAGATATGCATGAACGGCATGGGGTAACACTGTATCTAAATTCTGCACTCGTGTGAGATGAAAGCGTTTCGACCTGAATCACTATCCTTGTGTTATTAAATGATGCAGAAGGGTTGTTCATCATATCATCCATTGCTTCCATTCAAAGTAAGGCACTTCTGATTCTATAACATACACCAATGGGTCAAGGGTAAAATGATTATTTTGTCACCATAATGTCCATAAAAAGGAAACAGAACTCATCCCATCCATCTGTTTTGTTCAAATTGCCTTTAGTACATTTCAGGATACCAATTCCTTTTTTGTAGTATAAGACCTACTCCACTAATTCATGTGCTCTTTCCATGTTAAATCATGGAAATCAACCTTCTATAACTTTTTAAATCTCGTTGAAAATTTTAAATAAATTGTTTTTTAATAAAAACTATTCTTAGTTTCCGAACAACAATTCAATATATCATGACAATGAAAATCATGAGCTTGAAAGTATTCCGCTTGACTGTCACTGCTCTGTATGACACAACAACATAAAGACATCCTTCCGCCTGTAGATCTCTCATTCCCTCATAAAATCTTTAAAAAAAATTATCTCAAATCCAGACCAAAAATTGTCAATAATAGACATGAATGGATCCAGAAAGCTGAATTCTAAAGAAAAAACGAACTCCATTCGTTTACAATCATTTGTATAAAATGTAATAGTGGTTTGAGTCTAGAAAAACAATATTTACTTTGAAAAAAAAATGTATACTAATTCTGTATTTTTGTGTTCATTAAACTCTGGTAAAGGTGGGTCTTAACTTTTCCCGAGGCCTACGTAAAGGGAGTGGCTGTCATCAAAATATCAAGAACACCAAAATGTTGTCAATGTCTACTTTTCGAATTATATGTAGTCGAAAAAATAATGCATATACCTGGCTTATACAACTGGTGTAGTTAAACGTGAAACTTGATCGTCAAATCGCGTATAGGCCTTGTTAACGCATAGGCCTACCAAATTATAATGTTTTCAATACTGAATTTTATGGCCATATGGGCACGTGCAGATTTTTTTTACGATGCAATAATTTTGCTTGTAATATGTTGTCAATCAGTCAAGCCATGGAAACCATGACCATTTCCTCTTTAGCCATAGTTCATACAAATCGCTGCCTTTCCACTTCAACCATTGGATCTTCGAAATTGCCAGGTATTCTTCAGACACCTTGATTTATTCCTTCCGTGCGGCTAAAATCCATTTCTGTTCAACCATAAATCCAGATAACGTTATCCTAAATGTTGGCCCAAACACAGCAAAGTTCTCTTCAAACCAGGAACAGAAACTATTCTCAACGGCCAACCTGTATACCTATCACGAAGGAACTATCCTTTCAGCATGGAGACCCAAACAATAAGTGAATCTAGAAAATAGAAAACGAGGCCAAGCTGTTGTTATATTGAGCAAAATTTAACACCCCTTCAACATTTAATCTTGATTGTCTCCCGACATACTATAAAGATTTTTCCCAACTTCCCCTCCGGGTGGTGCTACATAAAGTAAATTAATCAATACTAGCGAGAACTTAAAGAGTGAAGCTCTAGTTCATTTGAAAAAGACAACAGCATTGTTATCAAAAGGAGTGACGATCTTTTGCAATTTTCTTCACTGCTTATTGAGGGCATTTAGTCTACAGCCTTGGCAGCCATTCATTAAACGATCTTATCCTGGCCCGAACTGAGCAAATACCAATTTATTTGTAAGAAGGTGAAATCACCATAGTTCGAGTCAAACTTGTAAAACCTACTGACTGTACAGTCAAACCAACAGGAATGAATACTCATTATAATGTAGGTCATAACACCCTTTGTTGTCCAGTTACACAGCACGAATGGAGTAGTTATTGTTCCTTATGAAAGATTATTTAGATCGGGAAATTCCCAAATGTCTATCAGCAGACAATGATAGTTGCACATAGTCAAAATCATAACTGAAAAGACCACCTATTTTACAGCAAGCTTAACTTTTTTTGCGAAAGACCATCGATATTTTATTTTACTTGCTGTGTTTTTAAACTTCTGGACAAATAATGTCTTTTAAAATTTAAAATACCTTACAGCCAGCGGTCGATTTATAATATTTGTTAGTAACGTAATTAAAAAAAAAAACCAATAGATTTAATGATTTGTATCCACTATATGTCAATGGTCTTGGTTAAATTATTTATTAATAGACGACTTTTCTTCAGACAGGGCAGGATGAGGTTTGTAGGCCTAATATTAAGTAAGTAACTATTTTCATCACGTTTAGACGATTTGACTTCAGATTTTCATTTACCAAATTAACTTCAGTAAGTGTACACTTGACATTAGTGACTTCTTCTCAATATGTAGGTTTTAACTAAATTCTTGTGCCGTTATTAACAGGACTAGTTTAAACTATTTAGTCCTCCTCTAATTCGGGTTGACTAAATAATTTCATAGAAGTAAATTTTCACGTATACTTAAACATTTGTACTAATTTTTGCAAAGATTTTCTTCACATATAAGTAATTGTACGGTATTTTCAGTTCTTATTGAACAAAGTGTTGCACTGATTCCACCAAAGTACCTGTACCCACTAGGTGGAGAAAGTTTTACTTACGATGTCATCAATAACCAGGATGGAATATTTCCCAACTCAACAGATTGCTTCACTGTTGGACCAAATCATCCTCAGCTTAGTTTTTCAGCCATGTATTTCGATAGGAATGTTAATAAATATGCAGATGTCAGGATTCCATCAGATAACTCGATTTCCAATATTGGTTTCACTGTTTTATTCAATGCCTTAGATCCATCGGGTTATCTTTTTCATTACCGTTCGGACAATCAAGGAAATATCAACTTTATAACAGAGATGTATGTTAAAATAGATAATGGTCAAGTCATTTCCAAAATTGACAGCAGTGGTTATTCAACCTCTCCACTTGTGTTTCCTGTTGGAGCTAATGGGCCTCATACCATCTCACTGAATACATGGATTATGATATCCCTTACGAATTCCGCTGTTAATGGTACAACTTATTTATTTATAGACACGCTGGTGGAACAATTTACTCATGGGTTTAATTTTTCAGTGAAAACACCCGGGAAATTACGATTCGGTGCATCTCTGCTTTCACCGTATAATGCATTTCATGGATTTATGACATGTGGTGCTCTTTATAATGTTGCAAGTGGTTTTGACAATATCACTGAAATTTTACAAAAATGCTCGGAAAAAAATTGGCCTAATTCACCCCCAAGTAAGTATTAGAATTTGAATATATTGTTAAATGCGCACATTTTTAAAATCTTACTCCAGTTCCTAAATACAAGCATGAAACTTGCAAGCCAATTATTATTTTTACTAAATCAGCCCTTCTGCGATTTCTCTATATTATTGAATGTTAACTTGTTACCTATCGACCACACTAAACCAAGTTTTTGTGAAAAGAATCAATTCCGTATCTTCTGTTGTGATAACAGTCTATCTTGACCCATTCTGCCATGTCCAGGGGATTAACTAAAATAAATCAACAAAAAACGGAACTCATCTGAGATCTTACACGTAGACACTGTAGACTCTATTATAAATAAAATATGCACGGCGGACAATATAAAACATATGAGGACAATTATACTAGTATTCTTAAAAGAGATGGTGGCAATTTTTTTAAAATAACACTTTTGTCACTTCAGAGCCAACATGTCAGAACTGGTATGTTACAGTATCAGTTCATCACCTCTTTCCTTTGGATGACGTGGCATGGACATCTGATGTTCATTTGATGCTCCACAACAATAACAACAGATGTTTGAGACCAGGAGAAACTCATCCAAGTTTTGATCACCGTGGTCTACGTTTTGATGGCTCGTCATATTCCAGTTTTAAGCTGACAATAAACAGTAGTGATTTAACAGGAGACTTTTCCCTTATGACTTATATTTATTTTCAGAACTACTCGTCTGGAAAAATAATTCAATTTCTGTCCTCATCGGGAAACACTGTTCTAGAATTAATACACACAAGCACGGGTGTTTATTTCGAAGCATTTACAACAAGTTCTTCATGTGCTCTTTCAGATATCACTACAAATATCAATTTCAATTCGTGGATTCTGTTGGGAATACTGAGGGAAACAAACCAATTACTGGTGTCGATTGATGACAGTATTTTTCATATTTCTGATACTTGCGGTTCATTTGGATTATCTGGCAACGCCTACATCGAAATAGGTAATTCTGAGAGAGGGAGCATTGGATTTCGTGGTAGCATGAGATGTCTTGTTCTTTTCAACGAATTACTCGATACTAATGTTGGAAGTACTATGGATCATTATTGTACATCAGCACAATCGGATGCTGTAGCAAGTGAGTATAGATAAACGGTTTTGGTATAAATTAATGTTACCTAGATATTGAACTGTCATTTTACCATGCTCTGCCTTCGAAATAGCATTTTAAACTAATTAATTTACACACCTATAATGTTCCTTAATCCTCGACCGAAATTTGTTATGTAGACATACTGTGGGGTAGCGACGATTGTATCGGCGGGGTTGGGTCGTCCCTCTATGGAATTAATGTAACGTAGATATTGAACTGTCGGAATTTGTTACATAGTTATACAGTGGCGTATCGAGCATACTGGGTGGGGGCGTCCTTCTATGGATTTAACAGGGCACTAGTCATGGCGAGGGGTCTAAATATATGTTTTTACCGCTTTGCTAGGCAAATACACTAATTAATGTGTTCATTATTTATTTCAGATGTTATCAACAACTGTGATGTACAACCTTTAAGTGAAAGAAAATACCTTCTCTTAAGACATAATATGAAGCCGGTAAACACATTTCAACAATTATCATCTGCCATCTTTCGTTCACTACCGGCTTGTGCAGCACATTGTTTTACGCTTGCGTACTGTAGATCTTTTACGTACAATGATAGTTATTGTGTAACATATGATGAAGTCACAGCTGCCGGTTTAATTGATTCTCCTGGGCTACGATATTTCATCCTCGCTATTTGAGTAATTTCCAATAAGAGCAACTAATATCGCCATCGAAAAATAGGGTAAATAAAAACAAAGTAGTTTCCGAGTTAAACATGCTTGTGCTTTGAGAAGTAATAATGACCACAGCGGCTATGTTAAAAGGGGACAATATAAAATTCTGGCTCACGTAATACTCTTCTTCAACTGCAGAACGACAAGACACTAGTTTTGGGTTTTCTTTAAATGGTTAGATCGTATCATCCATTGAATATAAGCCCCTGCTTCTATGCCTGCGCGCAACATAAACCAACAATTTATCAAGGGTCCAGGGTAAAGTGACCATGTTGTCGCCGTAATAGCCACAGAAATTGCAGCAAAAGGAAACAGAACTCATCCCATCCATCTGTTTAGTTCAAATTGCCTTTAGTACATTCAGGACACCAATTCCGTTTTACTCATAGTATAAGATAGACATACTCCACTAATTCATTTGATCTTAGCATGTTCAATCACGAAAATCAACCTTCTATAACTTTTTAAAATCTCATTGTTTAATAATATGTCGCATAAATGTTTGGCCTATATTTCGTTTCTGAACAAAATTCAATAATTATATCAGGACCATGGATATCTCGAGCTTGTCAAATTGAAAGTAGACCACTACATTTTATCAACATATGCTTGACACTGTACGACTGTATTAGGAATTGTCCTTCCGCCTTTACGTCTCTCATCACCTAAACAAAAATCTGACAAAAAGCAAATTCACACATCACAGTTCAAATCCAGACCAAAAATTATCAATAATAGACATGTAAAGTACAGATGGGACACAGAATGAGGAATTTTTGAGATAAAACGGATACAATCATTTGTAAAAAAAATGTTATAGTGGTTTTAGTCTAGAAACAGAAGTTTCGAAAACAATTTTTTATTTTGAAAAAGAAAACACTATATCGTCTAATACTGTATTTTAGTGTTCTTTAAACTCTGGTAAAGGTGGGTCTAACTTTTCTCGAGGCCTACGTAAAGGAGTGGTTGGGTCATCAAAATATCAAGAGCACCAAAATGTTGTCAATGGGTACTTTTCGAATGGTATGTAGTCAAAAAATAATGCATATACTGTCCTGGCCTATAAAACTGGTTTAAATATATGTTAACCTTGCCTTGGAAACGCATAGACCTTCCAAGTCATAATGTATTCAACACTGAATGTCATGGCCTTATGGGTACGTGCAGATTGTCTACGATGTAATGACTGGCTTGTATTACGATGGCAATCAGCCAAGCTAAGGCAAACCAAGACCATATTTTCCTAGTTCGCCATAGTTTATACAAATCGCTGCCTTTTCACTTTAATCTTTGGATCGTCGAAACTTAACCGAATTGCCACGACTTCTTTAGACACCTTGATTCGTTATTATAATTTGAGTAGTCCTGAGCATAAGGACATTTTGCGATATTCTATGCTGCTTTTTGTAGGCGTTTAGTTAAAGAAAAGAACAAATTACTGGTTTTCGGAAGAAATAAGCCTTAATATAATTATTTCAACCTTGACAGCCATTCACTTAACATTTTTATCCCGGCTCCGACTGAGCAAATACTTATTTATATGTAAGAAGATGAAATCACGAAAGTCAGTCACGAAACTTGTGAAACCTACTGGATGTACAGCAAAACCAACAGGAATGAGAATTCACCATAATGTAGGGATAACACCCTTGGTTGTCAAGTTAAATACCATCAGTTACCCAGAAAGCAGGGGATAGTTCCTGTTTCTTATAAATTATAACAGAAAATGGAGATGAAGAATTTTCCACATGTCTATCTGCAGAGAACGATAGTTGCACCTACTCAAATTCGTAACCGAAATGGCCACCCATTTTATAGCAAACTAAACAACTAACTAATCTCGTTTCATTCAGTACATGCGAAATACTCAGATGGTTCACAGCTTTTTGGATTCCGATAAAATCATGCCCTTCATGGAGGACACGCTAAATGTTAAATAATGAAAGAGAAAGTTGAATAAATACATTTTTTTGGTTCATGTATGTTAGTTTATGCTGTGGAAAGGGCAGTGGGAGAGAAAATTAATTTCGGAACACCATCAGTATTTTATTTTTGCTGCATTACTGAGTTTTTAAACTTCTAGACTATGTCTTTGAAAATACATTCACAGACATTGATCGATTTATAATACTTGTTCGAATGTAATTTGAAAATACATCGATTAAATGTTTATTATGCAGTATATCTGTCATTGTCGTGATGATATTATTTTATAAATACCTTGTCAAGAGATAGAGCAAGATGAGGTTTGTAGGTCTAATGTTAAGTAAGTACCTATTTTATTTTCCTACTTCTCATTACTTTTAGCCGATTTGACTTCAGATTTTCATTTTCCAAATTAACTTCTGTAAATGTACACTTGGCATTAGTGGTAATTCTTCTTAGTATGAAGAATTCAACTAAAATTGTGTTCAACGGGACTAGTTTAAACTATTTAGTCCTACCCAAATTCGGGTTGACTAAATAATTACATAGAAGCAAAAACTTTTAGTAATTTTTACAAATTTGTCCTCTGATATATTTGTTCGGTACTTTCAGTTCTTATTGAACAAGGTGCTGCACTGGTTCCACCAAAGTATCTGTACCCACTAGGTGGAAAAAGTTTTACTTACGATGTCATCAATAACCAGGACGGAATAAAACCCAAATCAACACATTGCTTCACTGTTGGACCAAATCATCCTCAGCTTAGTTTTTCAGCCATGTATTTCGATAGGAATGTTAATAAATATGCAGATGTCAGGATTCCGTCAGATAACTCGATTTCCAGTATTGGTTTCACTGTTTTTTTCAATGCCTTAGATCCATCGGGTTATCTTTTTCATTACCGTTCGGACAATCAAGGAAATATCGACTTTATAACAGAAATGTATGTTAAAATAGATAATGGTCAAGTCATTTCCAAAATTGACACCAGTGGTGATAAAGCCGGTCCACTTCAGTTTCCTGTTGGAGCTAATGGGCCTCATACCATCTCACTGAATACATGGATTATGATATCCTTTACGAATTTCGCTGTTAATGGTACAACTTATTTATTTATAGACACGCTTGTGGAACAAGTTACTCATACGTTTAAATTTTCGTTGAAAACACCCGGGACATTACGATTCGGTGCATCTCTGCCTTCACCGTTTAATACATTTCATGGATTTATGACATGCGGTGCTATTTATAATGTTGCAAGTGGTTTTGACAATGTTACCGAAATTTTACAATACTGCTCGGAAAAAAATTGGCCTAATTCACCCCCAAGTAAGTACTATATGTATAGATAATTGTTAATATCGTTAAATGCGAAATTATTTTACAACCTTACACGAGGTCCTTGAGTGCATGCATAGTTCCAACTGTCAGGACTCCATGCTTTATTCCTACTATTCCTCAGTAATGTTTTATTGTCATCAGAAAGGCCTGATTTTGTCTCACAATTACGTATCACACGAAAGGCCATTTTGGCTAGGTCAAAGAATTCTTTGCACATATTACACACCCTTCTAAGATCTCTCTAACTTATTAAATGTTAACTTGTTACTTTTCAACCACACTAACCTTTAAATAGATACGATACCCATACCAAGTTTTTGTGAAAAGAATCGGATAAATTCTGTTTCTTCTGCTGTGATCACAGTAATAAATAAATCTACGAAAAATCAAAGATTTTACTCAGCATGTTTTTTCACGTTTGGATCAAAACTGTAGACTCTATTGCTTTCACAAATCAAAATAATACAATGTAAAACATATGAGGACA